CTTTGTTCCAGCTTTGGTGTGGCCCTTTTCTCCTTTATTTAGTAACCAGAACAATGTGGGCCATTGGTCGAATGTTTATGTCAGCGCTGAAGTTTCTTTTATAGCTCCATTTAAAAAAAAAAAATTTAAACCCACTTTTCAAACATGCAGTGACTCAATTACTGCTGATTATTACTTTTATACTTAAAAAAAAAAAATCTTGTTAAGAGCCAGGCTCTCGTCAGGCCCCTTTTTGTCTATATGTAGGCAGGATTTCCAAAGTAGTATTTAGTCAGCAATGCAAGCAGCTGCAGATTCAATAAGAATGGAATAGGCCCAGTCTGGACATTCTCTCCCCATCCCTGGCCCGCTCTAAAGCCAGGCCACGGTAAGGAGTTTCTGGTACCTTGATCTTGACTGAAGGCATCTTCTTACCAAACTGTTTCAGTTTATAAAGAGAATATAGTTGTAATTTTAACTGCCCATGGAAATTTTAGGCATTTTCCTCCCACTGCTTTGTTTATTGCATGTATTATGCTGTCTTTCTATCACTGTTCTCAGATTGTGAAATCCATTTTGTTAGACATACTACACTGTGCGGCAGGGGCAGGCTGATGAGGGAACCCACTTCCCTGAGGCTGGGAGATACACGGCACAAGGAAAGCCCCGAGGCACAGCTGGAAGCGAAAGGGGAGAGAAACAGCTCTGAGAGGCCAGCTCTGGAAAGGCAAAGCAAGCCCCAGGCTCTTTAAGGGAAGTCTTAAAAGCAAGATGGCGTACCAAGAGGAATTTGCCAGGCACAAGGCAGGAAGGGTGCTGTTAACCACCTTATTGCCTTATATGTACAAAGGTCAGAACAAATGGCTTTTACAAAACTGAGCAGAGTTCAGTATGCCACTCAAAACTAAGGTTGCCAACCTCCAGGTGCTAGCTGTAGCTCTCCTGGGATTACAACTGAGCTCCAGGCAATAGTGATCAGTTAGTTCCCCAGGAGAAAATGGCCACTTTGGAAGGTAGTCTCTATGGCATTATGCCCTGCTGGGGTCCCTCCCCTTCCCAGACCTCCCACCCTCTCCATACTCCATCTCCAAAATCTCTAGGGATTTCCCAGCCTGGAGCTGGCAACAAAACCTCCTCAAAACCCTGTTGTCTGTGCCCCTGCTGTGAGAGGTGAACCAGGTGGCAGCTAGAGACAGGGCATTTTCTGGGGTGGCACCTTGCATATGAAATGCCCTCCCTCTTGAGGTTCACCTGGCACCTGCTTTACTTTCTTTTTAGGCACCAGGATTGCAGTTACGGGAGGTTTTTTAAAAAAATCTTACCAGCTTTTAAATGGCATGCCTGTGTTTTATGGATACTTTCTATGCTGCTTTATTGCCAGTGGATTGTGTTTTTTAACAGCTTGTGTTTTATCTTGTGATTTTTAATTGTAAGCTGCCTCAAGAAGGACTCTGAAGAGACAGCATAGCAATGTTATAAATAAATAAGAGAAAGAGCAAGGGGGTGGAGGAAAGTAGGCAGAGAAGCAGTGAGGTGTGTTTGTTTGTTTGTTTTCTTGATATCCCAGCTTTCCTCAAACCTGGAACTCAGTCTGTGTTCACAGAAGGTCTCTTGTCCAGGGACTGACCAGATGTAGACTCACTCAGTTTCCATATGGTGGTTGCTGGATGCTAGAGGTGGTGTCCCAAAACTATTCATCGGCTTGCTCCAGAGATCTATCAGCTGCTCTGTCATAAAATGATAGGGAGGCAGCAATTGGGCAACACAGTATGAAAAGCCTGCAAAAGCCCTCCGCTAGAAGATGGATAGGATTGCTTTTTTTAGGCAGGCAGGCAGCATTAGCTGCTCCCAAAGGACACCACATTTCGTGGTCACCTTAGATATTAAAAGCAGTCATGCAAATCATTTTTCATTTCAGTTCACTCTCGCTAGTGTGGATTATTCGTCTCACTGCCATGGGTACAGAGGAGACTTCGGCATCTCTTTCTTTCCCTCTCTCCTCTTCTCAGTCCATTCACTCCAGGCAGCTTTGGAGGTCAAAGAGAGAATGTACTGAAGAAGCTTCAGCAGTTGCTTGGCAACGGTGACTTTCATCCTCACTTCCCCAGTGAAGGGTACCAATTACCCACACGAACAGCAGAAGTGGAAGTGATACAGATGAGCTGTTGCTGTAGAAGTGGCTCTGTTGGTATTGGGGAACTGCAACTGGGGGAGCAAGTGAGCCCTGCCCATTCCATCTATTTCCACAACGGACCTTATTCCTAGTAAACTGTATAAAGGACAGCAGTTGGTAAGAGCCAAGTTGGAGTATCCTCACTGAAAGGCCCCATGGGCTGGGGGGGGCAGCGGAAAATCCACATCGGCGGACTGGAGAGGCAGCAGTGCAGCGCTGGGCAGATGCTCCCATGATGCTTGACTGATGCAGATGAGGTTCTGCCGTGCTGAAGCCACAATGGAGTGGCTCCGCCCACTCCCCCAGCACTTCCTCCCTTGCATCAATTGCTCGCGGGCCACATAAGAGCCCTGGATGGGCCAGATCCAGCCCCTGGGCCTAACGTTTGACACCCCTGCACTAGGAGGTGGTGCTAGACCACTAGGTGGTCTTAGTCTCAGCCCTACATATCTGTAATATGGTGCTCATAATGTTGACCTACCTTACAGAGTTGCTGTTAAGATGACTGAGACAATGCATGTGAACTGCTTGCAGCACTCTAGATGGCATAGGGCAGGTTCAAAAAGGTGTGTATGTGTGCATTACACACATCAGCTGGTAGACAACAGGCACTGTCTGTCTATATTTCACAATTTATCCTGCCCTTCCTTCAATGAGTACATTGAGGTACATGTGGTTCTCTATTTTATCTACCAGAATCCTGTAGGTCAGAGAGAGAGATGCTAACCCAAGGTTACTCAGTATGTTTCCATAGCAGAGAGGTAACTTGAACCTGGATCTCCCAAAGTCTAATCTGAGACTCCAACCCAGGACTCCCCAAACTTTTTGAGCCTGCTGGCACACCTTTGGAATTTTGAGAGGAAGTGGTGAGCACCCGCCCAAGATGGCCACCACAGGAGGTTGAGCCAAACTCAAAATGGCTGCAGAGAAGGCAGAGCCAAACATAATACTTCCCTCCTCACTCCTCCACAGAAGAAAGCAAGCCTGAAAGGGGAATGGAGCTACACAGAGACTACTAAGGAAAGCCCAGGTGCTTTACCAGTCTTCACAATCCTCCAGTGGAAAAAAAGTTTCATTTGAATGAGGGCAGCCAGTAACAAGCCCTGCCTTACGATGGCCATGCCCACTTTCCACAAAGCTCAGTGCACCGAAGGAAGTACTGACATTTGCCACGGTGTCTATGGACACCATGTTGGGGAACCCTTCTCTAACCACTACACTGCCTCTCTGCCATTCTCAAACAATAGAACCCAGAGGTGTGAGGGCAGTGGCAGGGCTTGCCTTATCAAGTCAGGAGGGAACAGCTGAAATGCAAAGGGATGAATGTATCTGTGCTTGGCTGGGAATGGAATGGCAGTCTTTGCAATGGAGGTATGGGTGGGCAGAGGGTGGCCACCTGAAAGTCTAGTTCTGCCTGCCTGATCAAGGGGAAACAGGAGCAAATAGCAGAGAGAGCGGGCGGCCCCCTTTCTCCTAATGTGGCTGTGATGGGGACTGACTGCACAGACCTAGAAGTGGGTTGCCTAGAGAGATGAATCTAGTAAATTGGAAGGAAGGAGAGAGGGAAAGACCTTCTGTCCCATTAGAAGGCTCTGATGTCATTTATTTATTATACATTTGTATTTCATTCTTAGTCTAGAGACAGATTCAGGTGTGGTAGCCATGTAGGTCTGAGGCAGCAGAAAACAGTTCAAGTCCAGTGGCACCTTTAAGACCAACAAAGTTTTATTCAAGGTATCAGCTTTCGTTTGCACACACACTTCTTCAAGGAGCTCAAGATAATGTGCAGGGCCTTATCTGATTTCATCTTCACAACAGTCTGACGAGATAGGGTAGGTGGATCAAATAGTGGTTCCCCTCCCATATGCAGTAAGCTGAGTAGAGTTTTTAAGCCACGTGAGACAAGGGTATTCTGTACTCCAGGTCTCTGCCCGGTAAGCCACAATTGGCTTCAGGTGAGAGGCTGTGGCTCAGTGGCTGAGCATCTGCCTTGTATGTGCTGGTTCTTACCTTTAAAGCCCTAGATGGCCAGGGTCCGACATACCTACGGGACCACCTCTCCCCATATGTTCCCCAACGAGCACTACGGTCCGGGACTAAACATCTCCTAGTGGTTCCAGGTCCCAAAGAGGCCAGACTAGCGGCGACTAGGGCTAGGGCTTTTTCGGCGGTGGCTCCTATCTGGTGGAATGAGCTCCCAGAGGAGATCCGGGCCCTGCGGGACCTTGCACAGTTCCGCAGGGCCTGCAAGATGGAGCTCTTCCGCCAGGCGTTTGAGTAGGAGCCGCCACGACCTATTTGTGTCCCTATTGGGGAGAAAAGCAGGATACAAATATATAAACAAACGAAACCTGAACCTGATGGGTGGGAGGGGGTTAATGGGATGCACAGCTACAGTTTATGCCCCGGGTATGGCAGGCAGCGGCTGACAGTGACGATAAACCTCTCCCGGTCCCAGTTCCCCCGAAGCCTCTGGTTCGGCCTCTCCCCCCCTCCCTCGCCCTTTAACCACCAGCTCCTCTTCTCCATTAATCAGAGTTGTGTCTTTCACGCCTGCTTCCCTGCGACCAAACTCAGCCTTCGGGAGGGCGTGTGCGCGGGGATTTCTGAGGGGATTTCTGCGGCGCGCTCAACCCACCGCAGCGAAACAGAAACCACACTCTGTCTCCCCCCTGCCCGGCTCGTCTCCCCCTCGCCCGCTTCCGATCTCGGCAACCGCACAAGCGGCGCGAAGCTCAGACAGGCTCCCTCGGCCGGCGGCCCCTCCCACCCCCTTCGCAGATCAGCCACTTGGTACGTTCTGCCTGAGTCTCCGCCAGCCCGGCGAGGCAGCCCAGGCAGACTGAGTTCCACTCTCCGCCGGAGTCGTCCCCGGGCTGGACCACTCCCTGGGAAGAAGAGGGGATGGTGGGGAGCCGCCGAAGCTCTCGCCGCTGACCTGCCGCCGCCGCCGCCGCCGCCGCGAGGGTGCCCGGGGTGGTCCTGGGGAGCAAGGCGGACCGCCGAAGAGCTGCCGTCGGGAGGCGATGTCGTCTGACGCTCACAGCCAGAACAGGAGGCTGCCCTGTAAGTCTCAGCTGGGTATCGGGGAGGCGAGAACTGGTGCCGCGGGGCGGGGGGTGGGGGCCGAGTCAGGGACCCTCAAATTTCCTGCCCAAAACTTCTGATAGGTGGGAACCTCTGGCAGCACCTTTCGAGGCAGCAGAGAAGGGCATGCACATGACTGAGGAAATGAGGTGAAGCCTTAATGCCATCCCAGCTTTGGGTTTCCCACATCTGTGGACCTGAAGGACAGGACACCACCTCCTCCCCACCCCGTCCCCAAATCCTCAGAGGCAGTTTACCTTGAGGGCTCCTGAGGGTCTCCTCCACTGGGTTCAGTGTCAGCCAGTTGCCCTAGACTCAGGAGCCAGAGGGCACAGGGCAGTGCTTAGAGCGTCAGACCCAGGTTCAAATCCCTGCTCTGCCATGGAAGCTGCTTAACACTGGGCACTCAGTCTTCCTCCACCTAACCTGCCTCACAGGGTTGTTGTTGTTGTGAAAATAAAATGGAGGACAGAAGAATGATGTCACCTGCTGCTTTGGGTTACTGTTGGGAAGGAAAATGGGGCATAAATGTCTAAATAAAGGCATTCCGGACAGGAGCAGCTCCAAAGCTTAAGAATCCTCCTCCTTTTGCTTTGGGGGACCCAACTATGTATGGCCTGAATAGCTGTCACTCCAAACATTGTGCGTCTGTTCTGGGCACCAGCTCTGAGGCTTCACACCTCTTAGTAATGCTCAACAGCTGGGAAGCCTCCCAACCACTGTATTGTGATTGCAGGCCCCCATTAGTATTATATGACAGACAAACAGCCTCCCACTGCTTTCCCTTCTCCAGAGGAGTTGACTCACTCTCTTGCATTGTCTCTTTTATCGCTTGTGCTCTCTCTCACACACACACACACAAACACAGTCTGTTTCATCCGGCTTGTCTCCAAACACACACACCTATCAGCCTTGGACTTTGTACCTCCATCCCACCCTTTTCCTCACTGGCATTCTGCAAATGCACAGGGACAGCTCTGCATTTAGGGATAAAATGGGTGCATACAGTCAGCCTTTTAGCACACACACACACCCAGAGTCTACTTCTCAATCCTTTCTGTGCAGTGAGCAGGAAAAGGACAAGCTAGAAAGGATTTGGTTCCAAGACGGAGAGCTTGCACCCCTGATGAGAACAGGGAGCGGGTCTTCATCTTGGTGGACACAAACAGCAGACTGTATACCGGCCCTTCAACATCATCTTTCTGTCCCCTGAGACCAGCCCCTGAGCGCTTTTCCTTGGTGGTCTGTAGCTGTGGCACCCTGACCTGGCTAGCCCAAGCTAACCTGATCTTGTCAGGTCTAAGAAGCTAAGCAGGGTTGGCCCCGGTTAGTACTTGGATGGGAGACCCCCCTGAGGAAGAAGAGGGTTGCTACCCTGAGGCAGACAAGGGCAAACCACCTAAGCCACCTCTGAACATCTCTTGCCTTGAAAGCCCTGTGAGGTCACCATAAGCCAATGGCAATGTGATGGCAGAAAAGAAAAATTAGCTGTGGCACACTTTCCAAGGGCTGCAGCTAGGTTCTGATTTAGAGGTTTCCCAATCGAACGATGGCTACTCTCCTGAAGAGAAGCTAGGCAGAGGAGTGGGATACGCATCGCCCACCATCCCCATGTGGGCTCTCTGTGTAGCCCACTGCCAACCGGGATGTCTTTGCCTGCCCCCTCCCCACAAATCCCACACATCGCACATTACCACCTTCCTGTGCCGCCCAGTAACCAAAGTCACACCCATCCTCATATCCTTTTACAACTGATCCAAGCACAGGCAAGCTGTAAATCCTCCGCAAATCATACCCCCCCACGCCCGCCCACACACCCCATCCCTTCTGCCCCACTTTGTGATCTCACTGTAGCAGGTCCCCCACCTAAGTCATCCACTAACTGTGAAGTCAGCCTCACCATGGCAACCAATCCCAGGTTTTAATTTGTGGCTCTCACGCACAGACTCCTGACCTCATTTGATAGGCAAAGCACCTTTCTCCTAAACCAAAGGTGACCGTCAGCCCTTTTTTTCCTTGATGGGCAGAAATACCATAGCCAAGTTCCCTCTGAAAAGCAAAGATAGGTCTAATAATGTATTATCTGGACTGCATTTCAAAGCCCTTCATGTATATTATCTCAGTAACCCTCATCACAACTGTAAGGCACTTTTATCCTCACTTTGCAGTTGAGGGACTGAGGTTCTGCTGCCCTAAGATCATTTTTTGGTGGCTTTTTCATGGCTAAATTGAGATTTGAACTGGGGATTTGCTGGCACAAACTGCTATTCCTTCCCTGGCACCCCGAGCTCAGGTTATGAGATTCCTAGAGACGTGGGAGAGACAGATCCATAACTCTGCAGCAGACTCCATTGTTTTTAGTAGATTTGATCACTTAGGTTCTGCACCAAGAAAAGGTAAATTCTGCAACAGAGGAATTGTGCACATTTATTACTTAAGTTATTTGTATACCTCTTTTCCTGCCACTCAAGGCAGTTTCCAATAAAGAGCAATAGCTTAAACAGGAGAGTAAAAACCATATTGCACATAAGAATAAAATCTCAGAAATTAAGCCAAAGGCTTTTTTAAAAAAGAGTTATGCTTTGCTTCTTTTTGCTAAAAAGGGACAGAGATGCCATGTCCCTTTGCTTCATTGGCAGTCTGTTTTACAGGAGTGGTGCCACCACTGAAAAGGCCTTAATTTGAGCTTTCCCTCACTGAAGGGACAGGTTGCAGGCGCTGCTGGGAGGAGCTAAACACTCTCCTCTCAAGGGCCCGTGAAGACCTTTTCTGTGATGGCCCCACTCCTAGGACATGTAGGTCAAAGCTGGCATTCTCTGTATTCTGCTAGCGAGTCCATATGACAGCATGACCGTATGATTGCTACAATTCTGGCTGAGGCCTACTCAGGGCTTCTGAGATTGCTCAGACATGATAAACATTTCCAACCTTACATTTGAAGTTTTAGGAGCTAGAAACTTGCTTCTTTTTAAAAACTGAACACTGAGATTGTTGACATCTTGAAGACTCTGCCCCCTTTACCACTCTTGCATAGTACTGTCATGGAATTGAATTGTAAAATGAAGACAGTCCAGATGTGTCTGAAAGGGGCCACCCATCGCTCAGTCCCTGTTTATCCTTTCCCCGGATATTGCTGTTTCTTTTCCTGTGTTATGTAGAACTATACTGGAAAGCATCCCAGGATCGATATTATCTAGGAATTGAGCATCACCTAGAAACACTGTGTCATAATATTCAAGGAAAACTGATTGAACCAGTTCATTTTTCTCACTAGAACTATAACAGATTGAACTGCTGTAGTTAATTTCGTTGTAGTTTCACATCTTGGGCTAGTTTTATTCTGTGTCTGACAGCTAGAGAGGCTAGTTCCTCTGCAGATGTGCAGAGTGTGGTGCACTCTCCACGAATAAGATCAGTGAACCTATATGTCTGGGAATTAAGTGGGGGGGGGGCTTCATTGTTAAAGGGTGCAGCATTGACACTTTGTTTTGTTTAAATTGCTTGTGTGGACCACTGGTATAATCCACATTAATGCTGTATCTAGGGTCCGAGGGGCCTTAAAGAGTCAGGAGAGAAGGGGAACTGAAGATGTCCCCAGAAGAAGAACTCATCTGAAACCTTGCTGCTCCTGAGCCAGGCACACAGTGTTCCCTATAAATAGTTCCGGGTAAAGAAAACAGCCCCAGGGACGGACCGAGGCAAGGGATGACTTTACTATGTGCATGGATAAAACACAGCCCCGGGGCGGCCATAATTTGTTGTCCTTGGCGTTTCAAGAGCCCGTCATCCTCTATAATATACTTCATGGCTTTATATTCCTCGCCATTCTATATCCAGCTATTCCCGGGCCTGTAAATAGCAGGGTCTTATGATGCCGTCTTGGCTGGGAAAAGAGCTGTGGATGGAAGGGATATTTTTAGCTCCGAGACTCAAGGGATTTGGAGATTGGTTAGTCTGGCTTTTGTTATGAATTGGTGTCAGAGAGAAGGGTCACAGGGGACCACTCCTTCCTCACCCTCCTCCTCTCAGGTCTGCCTCTCTGCCGAAACCACGGCCTCTCTTGCCTTCCATCTCCCCCTCCTCATGCATCCTTTCGCAGCGGTTTAGATTATTTTATGCTTTTGCTGCAGTATCCTATCCCAAAGGACGGGTGTGGGCAAGCACTCGTATGGGAATGTTTGATGGATTCTGAGCTGCTGCTTTCAGCCCAAGTCATCCTTGAAAGAAGACTTCAATCTAGGTAGTTCCCAAGCTATCCCCAGGGAGAAGAAGGGAGGCTCCAACCTGGCTTATCCAGTTATGTTTTTCCCCTGGGAACTACACTAGCTTCCTTAGAGCCGGTGCTACTGAACCACTCTTTGTAGCCCATTCTTTAGGAAAGAAGGCTACAAGAGATGTCAGACCACTACTTCTAGGCCACCTGGGTAAAGCACTCCTCTTGCCGAACAATGATGGGGGTGGGGCTGTGGCTGAGTGACAGAGCATCTGCTCTGCAGGCAGAAAGTCCCAGGTTCAATCCCTGACCCTGGCAACTCCAGTTAAAAAATGGAGGAAGAATCTGTAGAGCTGCATCCAGTCAGAGCCATATGACCTTAACAGACCAATGGCCTGATTCAGTATAAGGCAGGTTCATGTGATCACTGATGGGTCAGGATGACTGGAAGGAGGAAGACTAGAGATACAAAAGTCTAGAGTTCTAGGTTACTCTGGGAGTGGTGTGATTTTAGGGATGTGTACTCTTGACACGTATCCATGTGAATGGGGCTAGGGTACAGTTTCCTGTTCGGCCTAAATTCCTGGGCCTGAGGAGTGTGGGGTTTGGGTAGAGAAGGGACTTCAATCCGGTATAATGCCATAGAGTCCGCCTTCCAAAGCGGCCATTTTCTCCAGATGAACTGATCTTCGTTGCCTGGAGATCAATTGTAATCCCAGGAGATCTCCAGCCACCACCTGGAGGTTGGCAACCCTTTTTGCAATAC